TCCTCACAATGTTTCAAGGGCTGGATAGTTATAGAGTATACCATGCTTGTCTTCTCACAATGTTTCAAGGGTTAGATAGTTATAGAGTATACCATGCTTGTCTTCTCACAATGTTTCAAGGGTTAGATAGTTATAGAGTATACCATGCTTGTCTCCTCACTGTGTTTGAAGGGTTAGATAGTTATAGAGTATACCATGCTTGTCTTCTCACAATGTTTCAAGGGTTAGATAGTTATAGAGTATACCATGCTTGTCTTCTCACAGTGTTTGAAGGGTTAGATAGTTATAGAGTACACCATGCTTGTCTTCTCACAATGTTTCAAGGGTTAGATAGTTATAGAGTATACCATGCTTGTCTCCTCACAGTGTTTGAAGGGTTAAATAGTTATAGAGTATACCATGCTTGTCTTCTCACAATGTTTCAAGGGTTAGATAGTTATAGAGTATACCATGCTTGTCTTCTCACAATGTTTCAAGGGTTAGATAGTTATAGAGTATACCATGCTTGTCTTCTCACAGTGTTTGAAGGGTTAGATAGTTATAGAGTATACCATGCTTGTCTTCTCACAATGTTTCAAGGGTTAGATAGTTATAGAGTATACCATGCTTGTCTTCTCACAATGTTTCAAGGGTTAGATAGTTATAGAGTATACCATGCTTGTCTCCTCACAGTGTTTGAAGGGTAAAATAGTTATAGAGTATACCATGCTTGTCTTCTCACAATGTTTCAAGGGCTGGATAGTTATAGAGTATACCATGCTTGTCTTCTCACAATGTTTCAAGGGTTAGATAGTTATAGAGTATACCATGCTTGTCTCCTCACGGTGTTTGAAGGGTTAAATAGTTATAGAGTATACCATGCTTGTCTTCTCACAATGTTTCAAGGGCTGGATAGTTATAGAGTATACCATGCTTGTCTTCACAGTGTTTCAAAGGGTTAGATAGTTATAGAGTATACCATGCTTGTCTCCTCAATGGTGTTTGAAGGGTTAAATAGTTATAGAGTATACCATGCTTGTCTTCTCACAGTGTTTCAAGGGTTAGATAGTTATAGAGTATACCATGCTTGTCTTCTCACAATGTTTCAAGGGTTAGATAGTTATAGAGTATACCATGCTTGTCTCCTCACAATGTTTCAAGGGTTAGATAGTTATAGAGTATACCATGCTTGTTTCCTCACAATGTTTCAAGGGTTAGATAGTTATAGAGTATACCATGCTTGTCTTCTCACAATGTTTCAAGGGTTAGATAGTTATAGAGTATACCATGCTTGTCTTCTCACAATGTTTCAAGGGTAAGATAGTTATAGAGTATACCATGCTTGTCTCCTTACAATGTTTCAATGGTTAGATAGTTATAGAGTATACCATGCTTGTCTCCTCACTGTGTTTGAAGGGTTAAAAGTTATAGAGTATACCATGCTTGTCTTCTCACAATGTTTCAAGGGTTAGATAGTTATAGAGTATACCATGCTTGTCTTCTCACAATGTTTCAAGGGTTAGATAGTTATAGAGTATACCATGCTTGTCTCCTCACAATGTTTCAAGGGCTGGATAGTTATAGAGAGTATACCATGCTTGTCTCCCCTTACAATGTTTCAAGGGTTAGATAGTTATAGAGTATACCATGCTTGTCTTCTCACAATGTTTCAAGGGTAAGATAGTTATAGAGTATACCATACTTGTCTCCTCACAATGTTTCAAGGGTTAGATAGTTATAGAGTACACCATGCTTGTCTCCTCACTGTGTTTCAAGGGTTAGATAGTTAAAGAGTATACCATGCTTGTCTCCTCACTGTGTTTGAAGGGTTTAAAAGTTATAGAGTATACCATGCTTGTCTTCTCACAATGTTTCAAGGGTAAGATAGTTATAGAGTACACCATGCTTGTCTCCTCACAATGTTTGAAGGGTTAGATAGTTATAGAGTATACCATGCTTGTCTTCTCACAATGTTTCAAGGGTAAGATAGTTATAGAGTATACCATACTTGTCTCCTCACAATGTTTCAAGGGTTAGATAGTTATAGAGTACACCATGCTTGTCTCCTCACTGTGTTTCAAGGGTTAGATAGTTAAAGAGTATACCATGCTTGTCTCCTCACTGTGTTTGAAGGGTTAAAAAGTTATAGAGTATACCATGCTTGTCTTCTCACAATGTTTCAAGGGTAAGATAGTTATAGAGTACACCATGCTTGTCTCCTCACAATGTTTCAAGGGTTAGATAGTTATAGAGTATACCATGCTTGTCTTCTCACAATGTTTCAAGGGTTAGATAGTTATAGAGTACACCATGCTTGTCTCCTCACAATGTTTCAAGGGCTGGATAGTTATAGAGTATACCATGCTTGTCTTCTCACAATGTTTCAAGGGTTAGATAGTTATAGAGTATACCATGCTTGTCTTCTCACAATGTTTCAAGGGTTAGATAGTTATAGAGTATACCATGCTTGTCTTCTCACAATGTTTCAAGGGTTAGATAGTTATAGAGTATACCATGCTTGTCTCCTCACAATGTTTCAAGGGTTAGATAGTTATAGAGTATACCATGCTTGTCTTCTCAGAATGTTTCAAGGGTTAGATAGTTATAGAGTATACCATGCTTGTCTCCTCACAATGTTTCAAGGGTTAGATAGTTATAGAGTATACCATGCTTGTCTTCTCACAATGTTTCAAGGGTTAGATAGTTATAGAGTATACCATGCTTGTCTCCTCACAGTGTTTGAAGGGTTAGATAGTTATAGAGTATACCATGCTTGTCTCCTCACATTGTTTGAAGGGTTAAATAGTTATAGAGTATACCATGCTTGTCTTCTCACAATGTTTCAAGGGTTAGATAGTTATAGAGTACACCATGCTTGTCTTCTCACAATGTTTCAAGGGTTAGATAGTTATAGAGTATACCATGCTTGTCTCCTCACTGTGTTTGAAGGGTTAGATAGTTATAGAGTATACCATGCTTGTCTTCTCACAATGTTTCAAGGGTTAGATAGTTATAGAGTACACCATGCCTGTCTTCTCACAATGTTTCAAGGGTTAGATAGTTATAGAGTATACCATGCTTGTCTCCTCACAGTGTTTGAAGGGTTAAATAGTTATAGAGTATACCATGCTTGTCTTCTCACAATGTTTCAAGGGTTAGATAGTTATAGAGTATACCATGCTTGTCTTCTCATAATGTTTCAAGGGTTAGATAGTTATAGAGTATACCATGCTTGTCTTCTCACAGTGTTTGAAGGGTTAGATAGTTATAGAGTATACCATGCTTGTCTTCTCACAATGTTTCAAGGGTTAGATAGTTATAGAGTATACCATGCTTGTCTCCTCACAGTGTTTCAAGGGTTAAATAGTTATAGAGTATACCATGCTTGTCTTCTCACAATGTTTCAAGGGTTAAATAGTTATAGAGTATACCATGCTTGTCTTCTCACAATGTTTCAAGGGTTAGATAGTTATAGAGTATACCATGCTTGTCTTCTCACAATGTTTCAAGGGTTAGATAGTTATAGAGTATACCATGCTTGTCTTCTCACAGTGTTTGAAGGGTTAAATAGTTATAGAGTATACCATGCTTGTCTTCTCACAATGTTTCAAGGGTTAAATAGTTATAGAGTATACCATGCTTGTCTTCTCACAATGTTTCAAGGGTTAGATAGTTATAGAGTATACCATGCTTGTCTTCACAATGTTTCAAGGGTTAGATAGTTATAGAGTATACCATGCTTGTCTTCTCACAGTGTTTGAAGGGTTAAATAGTTATAGAGTATACCATGCTTGTCTTCTCACAATGTTTCAAGGGCTGGATAGTTATAGAGTATACCATGCTTGTCTTCTCACAATGTTTCAAACTGGGTTAGATAGTTATAGAGTATACCATGCTTGTCTCCTCACGGTGTTTGAAGGGTTAAATAGTTATAGAGTATACCATGCTTGTCTTCTCACAATGTTTCAAGGGCTGGATAGTTATAGAGTATACCATGCTTGTCTTCTCACAGTGTTTGAAGGGTTAGATAGTTATAGAGTATACCATGCTTGTCTCCTCACGGTGTTTGAAGGGTTAAATAGTTATAGAGTATACCATGCTTGTCTTCTCACAGTGTTTCAAGGGTTAGATAGTTATAGAGTATACCATGCTTGTCTTCTCACAGTGTTTCAAGGGTTAGATAGTTATAGAGTATACCATGCTTGTCTCCTCACAATGTTTGAAGGGTTAGATAGTTATAGAGTATACCATGCTTGTCTTCTCACAATGTTTCAAGGGTTAGATAGATATAGAGTATACCATGCTTGTCTTCTCACAATGTTTCAAGGGTTAGATAGTTATAGAGTATACCATGCTTGTCTCCTCACAATGTTTCAAGGGTTAGATAGTTATAGAGTATACCATGCTTGTTTCCTCACAATGTTTCAAGGGTTAGATAGTTATAGAGTATACCATGCTTGTCTTCTCACAGTGTTTCAAGGGTTAGATAGTTATAGAGTATACCATGCTTGTCTTCTCACAATGTTTCAATGGTTAGATAGTTATAGAGTATACCATGCTTGTCACCTTACAATGTTTCAAGGGTAAGATAGTTATAGAGTATACCATGCTTGTTTCCTCACAGTGTTTCAAGGGTTAGATAGTTATAGAGTATACCATGCTTGTCTTCTCACAATGTTTCAATGGTTAAATTGGTGCATAGTATAGCATGCTTGTCTTCTCACAGTGTTTCCATGGTTAAATGGGTGCACAGTATACCATCTCCTGACAGTGATCCAAGGGTTGAATAGGCATACTATGTTCCATGCTTTTCTCTACTGGTGATTCTAGAATAAGTCTCCAGTGCTGTCTCTCTTGAGAATTTCAGGGCTAGGTATTTCCCTGTTGCTTGCTCCAACGGTGCTAAGTGGTCTTAAGCACATTTACTCATATTCTGTTCAATAATCCCATTAAAGAAGTCAAGTTGATGTCTGAGAGCCTATTGAGGTCATAACGACAGACATATTTGATACCTTTTGTAGGTGGACCTATCATCAGTGGCGCCCCCAAGTGTGGGGGAAGATGAACTGCTTCCTCTACGTATATCTGGTGATATTGTCAACAGTGATGAGATTGCGTGTGCCAGCGATGTCAGTCTAGAAGTGGACATTCCTAATGTACAGGTATCTGCATGCATCTTGTCTTTGTTGATTAACTACCATGTGATTGTTGACACAATTCCAGCATGATATAGAACTTTCTACAAGGTATGTAGATTATTCAAGTGGACAAATGTTTTCATCTATATTCTCACATTACATCAAACCAGCAGGTGAGTAAAAGGCAACTAATATGGATGACAACTTCTTGTTTATTGTATGTCCCAATGTTTCTGGGCTATTCCTTGCTCCTTCGTCAATCATCAGAAACGTTGTGACAGGCTATTCCTTGCCCCTTCGTCAATCATCAGAAACGTTGTGACAGGCTATTCCTTGCCCCTTCGTCAATCATCAGAAACGTTGTGACAGGCTATTCCTTGCCCCTTCGTCAATCATCAGAAACGTTGTGACAGGCTATTCCTTGCCCCTTCGTCAATCATCAGAAACGTTGTGACAGGCTATTCCTTGCTCCTTCGTCAATCATCAGAAACGTTGTGACAGGCTATTCCTTGCTCCTTCGTCAATCATCAGAAACGTTGTGACAGGCTATTCCTTGCCCCTTCGTCAATCATCAGAAACGTTGTGACAGGCTATTCCTTGCCCCTTCGTCAATCATCAGAAACGTTGTGACAGGCTATTCCTTGCCCCTTCGTCAATCATCAGAAACGTTGTGACAGGCTATTCCTTGCCCCTTCATTCAATCATCAGAAACGCTGACAGGCTATTCCTTGCCCTTCGTCAAATCATCAGAAACGCTAGACAGGCTATTCCTTGCCCCTTCGTCAATCATCAGAAACGTTGTGACAGGCTATTCCTTGCCCCTTCGTCAATCATCAGAAACGTTGTGACAGGCTATTCCTTGCTCCTTCGTCAATCATCAGAAACGTTGTGACAGGCTATTCCTTGCTCCTTCATCAATCATCAGAAACGTTGTGGCATACAATAAACAAGAAGTTGTCATCCATATTAGTTGCCTTTTACTTGAATACCAACTTCTAAATGCCTTCCAAGAACCTCACCAGTTGAGTGTTTACATTATGTTTTTATACACTTAATTCTTATATCACTGACTTTACTGCTGTTACCACTAGGAGTGTTGTTTTTTATATGGGATTGCAATACCTTTAGCAGGAACCTGTAGATTGATAGCAATTCTCTCATTCTTCATTATACAATTTATGGTATATAAAACTGAACCATTGTAAAACTGAATGATGTGTCAGTGTCACCGTAAAATCATGCAGTGCATCATTTCATGGCATGTCCTCGATCTTCAGGGAGCATATATGTAAAAACCAAAAGTTCTCATTTTAAGACTGAATGTCTTAATTGGTATTTTGTTTAAATGTTTGAAGTAACAGAACAACACCTTTTTGTTTCACATTTATAAATTGTGTTAGTCGTTTCCTTTTTAATGCATTCTTCATGAAAAAGCCATTTTGATTTACTTTCGGCTGTTGCTGGTGTGGACAGTTTCTCCCTGTCTTCATTTGCATCCTTTGGCTGAGAATGGCATCCAAAATCACTATTATTAGTTTCAATGTTGTCTTTTTATTCAAAGTTACCATGTGTTTCCGAGTTTGATATTATATTTATATTTCTATTTATATATATTTGTATAGCGCCAATATCCAGCTCAGCTGCTTAAAGGCGCTTTTTTTTTCCCACGATCATTTGATGTCAATCTCAAACGGCACATTGTATTATCAATCTCAACTCCCTGGGGAACATACAACTCTTGCAGCCACTAGGCACACCAAGTTAATGTGGCTTTCCCATCCTTACGAGGTACCCCTTCACAGCTGGGTGGACTGGGACACACAGTCACTGTACTTTGTCCAAGTCTACTGCACGTTGCTGTACCCGCGACAAGATGTTTGCACGTATTCATGTGACCACCATCTGGTCATTTACCAACGGATTCGTGGGTCTTTTAAGTGCACAGGGTTGTGTACTGTACACTTGTGACAACACTGAAAGAGTCTGCACACACAGTTGACTCCAAGGTTTTTTACGCCCGGTCACAGGTGGGCTCGATCCTGGCAACTTAAGCTCGCTGGATCACTAGCCTGGCGCCTTAGACAGCTCGCCCAACACACCACCACATAATGTTTCACTTGATAAATCTCCATATGAAACTTGCGGACACATGGTAACAAATTTATCTCGATGAACACCCTCACTAAATGCTTTAATCTGGACTGAGAGAATGAGATGGCGTCTGAATGTGTGGGTATAACTTTTTTTTATTGGTGAACTTACAATTTTTTGGTTGCATACCATTGCATTCAGCACAACAAATTTGAGCTACTGCCGTGCAACGGTTCTAGACTGAAATGTTAGCTGAAACGGTAATTTCTTATATGCGCTTGAACGGTTACGTGACCTTGTGAAGACATTCCACCTTAGAAACTCTACAATCAAATGTTCGAAATCCTCACTGTCATTCATTGTCAAACATTTAATCTTTCAAGAACTCTTTAATTACACAGAATGATGCAAGCAGTTGCAACTCTATTAACATGAAACTTTCATCAACTTGGGTATCAAGGTTAGGTCAGCATAACCTGTATTGTGATGCACTAGTCTTGTAAATGACCCTCACATGAGACTAAGTGAGAGGTTGCTGTAGACATGGCGATGTTCTAGATCAGGTCAACACCTGGACAATTTCTACTTGTAGTGAATCTTGAGATTGTTACGGTCACTGGTACAGACTTGGCATTTGTGGCCTACACGTTACAGCATTTCTGTCGCTGAATTCTCCAAAGAGATCTTCCATTCTGACCCCTCTCAGGTGGAAGTCAATGCATTGGTCATGATCGCCGCTAGGAAGTGTCATGGCAGACAAGGGGACCAGGCGAAAAAGTGAGACGTTTTGTAACGCTGGCATCAAGGCAGGTCAAGTAGAAGATTGGGAAAGGGAAGGTGGAATTGTATTCCGAATGGCTTTTCCCATACATTCTTTCTCAAATCGCCAACTCTCTGATAAACAGAGAGAGACAATACACTCTTGTGGCCAGTGACAGCAATAACTTTAGCTGCACTGAAGTGACACTCAACAACATTGTGGCACCAGTGGCACGGACAGAGTGATTTTTGCACACTGTGGATAGATTGCCACTCTTCCTTACTGATGGCATGAATTTCTGAAGAGTATTGACTCCATCGGGAATGTAACAATACCAGATTGTGTCGTCATCTAGCTTTTGTTTACAAACAATCCAAACAAGGGAGATAACTCTTGATGGAATGATGTTGCTAGGGACGCATGTGGTCCAGTTTAACATAGAAAAATATACCTACGGCGTGTGACCAGTAGTTAGCCGACATTGCTGTGCAAGTCGAGATGAATAAAAATATGCCCATGAGTAAAGAGGAGCAATCAGCAACGCATGTCAGGACTTCATAATCTTGGTGCATTACATGCAGGTTAATAACTTAGCGCAACTGGATCGTTGCACCACTGCATGGATCGAGCTGTCCTATACGTGTGGTTAAACAAGTTTAGGCATTAGGTTTGGAAGCATTTTACATGGTTGATTTGGAACCACAAGAAATACAGTAAATATTAATATATCAAATGCTGAAGCAGTATAGTCAGTCATTTTGTCGTCTTGGGTAGGCGGGTCGGTGGGGTAGCCTAGTGGTTAAAGCGTACACCCGGGTTCGAATCCCCACAAGGGTACAAGGTGTGAAGCCCATTTCTGGTGTTCCGCGCCGTGATGTTGCTGGAATATTGCTAAAAGCAGCGTAAAACCAAACTCAGTCAGTCAGTCAGTCTTGGGTAGGCCGACAAGTGAAGTAACTTCAGAGAAAATCACTCCTACATTTCTGTTGTTTGTCAAATAATTACAAAGAGAAACATCAGTTGTGAAAGAAATTCTTAAACTTAACTTAAACCATAATGACAAAACTTGTAATATGTTTTTAACCAAGATATTGGTTTTCAGTCAAAATGTTGCAAAAACATATTGCAGTTTGATATATAACAGCAATACCATGCAGTACTAATTCCACTTCTATTATATTTTACAGCTGTTGTAATGTTTCAGCTGTTGAATTTTTATTCCCACTTCATTATGAACTTCCATTGCCAATACTTTGCATCAATTTGTATTGATTTTTAAATGTAAATTATATAATACAATTGCTAATTGTATAACAGTTGTTGGTTGGTTTCACACTGAATTCTTTTGTGTATAGATTTCTGGGTCAATGTTTGGTGTATAGATTTCTGGGTCAATGCTTTGTGTATAGATTTCTGGGTCAATGTTTGGTGTATAGATTTCTGAGTCAATGTTTGGTGTAAAGATTTCTGGGTCAATGTTTGGTGTATAGATTTCTGGGTCAATGTTTGGTGTATAGATTTCTGGGTCAATGTTTGGTGTATAGATTTCTGGGTCAGTGTTTGGTGTATAGATTTCTGGGTCAATGTTTGGTGTATAGATTTCTGGGTCAATGTTTGGTGTATAGATTTCTGGGTCAGTGTTTGGTGTATAGATTTCTGGGTCAATGTTGTTGTAAATCAACACATAACAGTCTGTAATGATCAAACCTGGACACGCCAGTGGTGGACATTATGTGGGCAAGTTCCTTCTCATTTGAGCAATGTACCAAGTCACTGTGCCCAAGACCAGATCCATTGAGTCGCTTCCCTGAGAAACATAACTTACATTGGACCAAGTGTACCCTCATTCACCAAGGGGTGATTGTTGGCTTGGTGTGTGAGAAGAACTCCAGAGGGAACTTGCCTCTCTTATCCAGGGTTCTCACACAAAATGCTAAATGTATGACAATGACAATGACAATACTTTATTACCCCAAGGGGAATTCTTTTTACATTTGAAAGTGGTCACATGGTTACATATAAAACTGACATATAGGTTAATAAAACACAAAACAACACAATAGGCAGACAAAGTTAACAGTTATGAAATAGTCGAATACTTGCCGGAATAAAAGAATTTTGAACTCTTTTTGTTTTAAAACGGGGCCTTTGGTATCGGCGGCCTGAGGGTAAAAGATGGTATTCAGAAAATAAAACATGGCTGGGATCAGATAAAATTCTCTCAGTGAGGTTAATAACACGGGAATTAAAGAGAGAAGATAAATCCGAAACAGACATCCCAGAGATTTTACTTGCAATTCAAATGATTTTGTTAAGATAGGGTTTGCTTTTGATATTAAGAGAGCCATACCAGCATTGAATTGAAAAAGTTAAAATACTTTCAACAAAACAACGATAAAACAACAGCATCACCTTTTTGCTTATGTTAAAAGATCTCAGTTTACGCTTAAAATACAATCTTTGCTGGCATTTCTTAAAAATAAAATCGCCCACTGTAGTTTATTGTCAATAATAGTGCCAAGATATTTGTATTGTTTTACAATTTCGCCAGTTTCATCCTTGTTTTGACAGGCTGCTGATGTCTATGGACATATCCCTGACTCCAGCGACCTCGCAGTGGAGGTGACAAATTCAGGCTCAACAACAGCGGCAACACACACCTCAACTGAACTTCACACCAAAGCAAAACAAGAGGTGAAGTTGAAGCCAGACTCAACAGGCCTGACGAAGAGAACTGTTTTATGCAAGCTTTCCCAGGCTGCACGAGCATCCAATGGTGTTAATGCTTCACATGGTCACTCAGTTGTTGCAAACGCCAGGTCTCTAAAGAGCTGGATGTATCTCCCTGGATGCAGCAATGGGAGTAACATTAATGGCAAGACACAGAAAGCTGCTGCACAAGTTGAACACACCCACCCTTCGCAGCATCCTCTCTGTTATTTGGTGGGTGTGGTTAAGAACTGTCAGATGGCTCGGGCACCTGGCAAGGTCAAGGTCATGTCCAAGTCCAGAAAGCTGATGGTGGCAATAGCACAGGCACCTCCAGGTAAGTATAGTTGGGTAGATCACCTTCAGAAACAGGTAGATCCTCCAGGTTCCTAGATAGTTCCTCCAGGTAAGTATAGTTGGGTAGATCACCTTCAGAAACAGGTAGATCCTCCAGGTACCTAGACATTTGTTTCACAACCTCCTCCAGGTGAGTATAGACAGGTAGATACACAAGCACCTCCAGGTAAGTATAGTTGGGTAGATCGCCTTCAGAAACAGGTAGATCCTCCAGGTACATAGACATTAGGTTCACATTAGGTACATAGACATCAGGGCCCCGTTCCTCAAAGCGATCGTAGCGCTAAGGTGATCGTAACTCCCATACTTTAACATAGACTTACGACTGTCGTAGCGCTACGATCGCTTTGAGGAACGGGGCCCAGGTCTACAATCACCTCCAGGTAAGTAACAGGTAGATCCACAGGCACCTTTAGGAAAGTAGACAGTAAATACACCTCCAAGTCACCTTATACTGACAAATGACCTTGGCCCACTTGCACAGAACAATCTTAGTTACAATCAATCTTAGGCCCCTACAATCAACTTTACAATCACCATATAATTGCCCGAATCCACTTGCACAAAGCCAATCTTCGCACGATTGTAAGACCACATGCACTTAAGATTGCGATCTTAAATAAGATCGAACTCGTCAACGGTGGAGGTACGCATTTCTTAAACTCGACTCCTGTCTACAGATGTCTGCAAGTGCGTACAGCATGGTGCACAAATAAAAGTGGAACTGGTTACTGCACAAAACACATACCTCTATAAATCGCACCTTGCAGAATTTTCATGAAAAAAATTATTGTGAAATTCCTTTTCACACACAATTTCAAATGCCTCAGCAAGTGTATTTTACTGTTTGATGAATACTTGTATTATATTTAAAATGCACAGATTAAAACCCTCGTCTCTCCTCCGATTCAATTTTAGATTTAAGTATGAGAAAAGAAACATGATTTTGCACGTTATCTAATTGTAGACTATTTTAATGATAAACTAAGACAAAATCACTGACACAAATATGATCGAAAAGAAATATATGTACAGTTCTTCGATGTCACAACATAAATATATCGGGCATGGCAGACTCTACGGCAACTACATAACATGCCAAGGGAAACCACTCCCATCTTGCGTAAACTCTAAGATTAGCTGCCCTTGAGTTTTTGAAAAGGTCACAGCCATTGCTAATCGCATGCAGACACCTATCGTTACTATTCTTTCCTTGATTATCAAAAAGGTATGTTGTTTCACACTTATTCGAACACTGAACCGGGTGGGAATAGTGCTTTGTGATATCGACTCGATAGTTATGAGGTTCACTACCGCAAATAATAATGTTTCTGACATTAAATCGGTGGTGCATTCTCTGTGTTGTTGAAGTGTCGAGGTGAATCATGCAGTTTTAAGCAATATAAAAGCAATCTCCAAACATTAAGCTGATTATTTGCGTGGAACAGACACTAACTTGAACGCCATTTTGTCACAGACTACAATGATCTTAGCTTGACCAATTGTAAGAGTCGATTGTAACTTACAATGATCTTAGTCTACAATCGCTTTGTGCAAGTGGATGGCGATTGTAGAAGAAGCCTTAGATCGAGATCTTAAGGATTTACAATAATTGTAGCTCTAAGATTGCTCTGTGCAAGTGGGCCCTGATATGATAATGAGTACCCACAAACTGGTGTTGGTAACAGGTGATGCTAACACTGATGTGGGTTACAAGTGTCACACTGTGCTTCTATCTTACTGCAGATGCAATTAGGGCCACTGCAGGAAGAGTGACTCAAGTATAGAACTGTCAGATGAGTGACTCAAGTATAGCACTGTGACAAGAGTGGCTCAAGTATAGCAGCAGTGTGAGAAGAGTGACTCAAGTGTAGCACTGTGACAAGTGTGACTCAAGCATAGCACTGTGACAAGAGTGGCTCAAGTATAGCAGCAGTGTGGGAAGAGTGACTCAAGTGTAGCACTGTGACAAGTGTGACTCAAGCATAGCACTGTGACAAGAGTGACTCAAGTATAGCAGCAGTGTGGAGTAGTGACTCAAGTGTAGCACTGTGACAAGTGTGACTCAAGCATAGCACTGTGACAAGAGTGACTCAAGTATAGCAGCAGTGTGGGAAGAGTGACTCAAGTATAGCAGCAGTGTGGGAAGAGTGACTCAAGTATAGCAGCAGTGAGGAGAGTAACTCAAGTGAGTGACAAGTGTAGCAGTGTGAGAAGAGTGACTCAAGCATGTAGCACTGTGACAAGAGTGACTCAAGTATAGCAGCAGTGTGGGAAGAGTGACTCAAGTATAGCAGCAGTGTGAGAAGAGTGACTCAAGTATAGCACTGTGAGAAGAGTGAATCAAGTATAGCACTGTGACAAGAGTGACTCAAGTGTAGCACTGTGACAAGAGTGACTCAAGTATAGCACTGTGAGAAGAGTGACTCATGTGTAGCACTGTGACAAGTGTGACTCAAGTGTAGCACTGTGACAAGTGTGACTCAAGTGTAGCACTGTGACAAGAGTGACTCAAGTATAGCACTGTGACAAGAGTGACTCAAGTGTAGCACTGTGACAAGAGTGACAATAGACTGTGACAAAGAGTGATCAAGAGTAGCACTTTGACAAGAGTGACTCAAGTGTAGCACTGTGACAAGAGTGACTCAAGTATAGCACTGTGAGTGACTCAAGTGTAGCACTGTGACAAGAGTGACTCAAGTATAGCACTGTGACAAGTGTGACTCAAGTATAGCACTGTGACAAGTGTGACTCAAGTATAGAATTGTGGGAAGAATGACTAAAGTTTAGTACCAGCTCCTTCTGATGTCCACGATCTGTTATAGTTTAGTACCAGCTCCTTCTGATGTCCACGATCTGTTATTGTGAACTACTGCTTTTCGGCTCCCTGTGCACTGTTATGCAGTAACAATTTACTGATGTATGTAGCAGTATATTTATGCATCAAGTAAAATGTGAACATGACAACTTAACATTTTCTACATTGTTTCGGTCCACTATTCTGACTGTTGATTGTATAATGATGTAGCTTTCCTCAGGGATGTAGTTGCATCTGTGTTTGATATCTGTCCCAGTCCCATGCCGATGTCCTCAAACATAGAGTTAGTACTGAGCATTATGTCAATTAGAAGCAAAGTGTCTTTCATATGTGTATTTAAGGAATGGATTTGGGAAACATTTATTCTGCAAGTTGTCAAATCTGTATTGTAAGTACTCAAACAATCTTATTTATCAAATGCCAAATGTACACTATTAGTGATGTTGACTGAAAAAACATGCAAACTGTTGACTGTGACATGTTTGACATATTAGTGCTGTGATAGTCACTGACAGTTATTCAAAAGAGAACACAGATATGTGATATATTAGTGCTGTGATAGTAATTGACAGTTATTCAAAAGAGAACACAGACATGTGATAGATTAGTGCTGTGATAGTAATTGACAGTTATTCAAAGAGAACACAGACATGTGATATATTAGTGCTGTGATAGTCACTGACAGTTATTCAAAGAGAACACAGATATGTGATATATTAGTGCTGTGATAGTAATTGACAGTTATTCAAAGAGAACACAGACATGTGATATATTAGTGCTGTGATAGTCACTGACAGTTATTCAAAGAGAACACAGACATGTGATATATTAGTGCTGTGATAGTAATTGACAGTTATTCAAAGAGAACACAGACATGTGATATATTAGTGCTGTGATAGTAATTGACAGTTATTCAAAGAGAACACAGACATGTGATATATTAGTGCTGTGATAGTAATTGACAGTTATTCAAAGAGAACACAGACATGTGATATATTAGTGCTGTGATAGTAATTGACAGTTATTCAAAGAGAACACAGATATGTGATATATTAGTGCTGTGATAGTAATTGACAGTTATTCAAAAGAGAACACAGACATGTGACATATTAGTGCTGTGATAGTAATAGACCGATCCAGTCTGTCACTCAAAACTGGCGCATGCGTCAATTTTGGCCAATCAGCAGGCTGGGCGCGCTGTGTGGATTTGTCAGACTTATTTCCGGGGTCAAACGATGCCTCCGAAGCGATGTGCTTTGAATTATGCCATTTACACTCGCTATATCTATTACATATTGCTGTGATTTGATGTGTACCTTTACCAAAACCATTACGATCAAGACAAACAAATTGAGGCGGATCAAGGAATGCGATAGGCCTAACGAGCAGTTAAATGGCGGCACCGTCGTTCACGAAACCTACGTCTGCTCGAAGGTGGGAATTTACCGCAATTTACACACTTTCGCACATGTGCAAAAGCATTACCAATAGATGACAACAAATAGCAGTTTAGGATTTTGAAAGTGTTATAAACACGGACAATTCTTGTAACTACAAAATTGTTTTTGCTTCACGTTTTTAGTCACTACTGGGCATTGAGTTGGTACACAATAAACCTGAAATGACACAGGCGAGAAAGCCGTGACACAATGTAAACAAATCTGACAGCGAGCTGATTTCGGTTAGGGTCGACCGAAATAGCAAAACTTGTTACATTAAAGAACAATGTGGTGGATATGGTTGCTTTCGCGATTAGATATTCTTAAATTTGTCACACATTTTAGGATGTTTTAAAGTTTCAAAAGCACAATCTGAAGGCCTATGTACAGTAGAGTATATGTTGATAGTGCAAAATATTCGAGGAGTAATATTTTTTTATCCAAACGGAAATATTGTCAGTGTCAGCAGTTGCCTATCACGCAATATCCAAACATCAAAATTAATTCAAATGAGTGTCTATAAAACCATGTCTTAAATATTTCAGAATTTCTATAAAGAGATGGGACCTTGAATTGATGTAGCTTACTCCATGTGGATCGGAGACGAAAACTATGTGAGAAGAATAGTGACTTTCTGGAATATCGGACGGAGTGAAATATAAGTGTATTTCCTAACTATGAGAACATTATTTGTTGTGATTTTTTGTCACAGCATAATTTTTTTACATGTAGGGTGGGGTGGGGGTACATTTTTAACATAGTTCTGTCATTTTAATTATAATTCACTGGAAATGATAGCAAGGTATGTTTTAAGAATCTTGCCTCTTTCAGGAAACGTGGAAAGGTAATAAAATAGATAATAATCCAATCAATTATAAATAATTACTTAATTGACTCACATATCAGATTCATGTAAATTTTTTAAGGCAGAACTAGGCAAACAAACACTATATACATATCATGGCTGAACAATCACTTGGTACTAAGATAGCTAGTTTGTTTTAAGATATATTTGGTCTTTAAATAATATGTTTACTAATAAGATTATTCAGAGAGTGATCACTAGTATCATCACTCGTAATAAAGTTATTTCAGCATCCAGAGAATTTGAAAAAAAACCCAAAGGCTATACGTTTTGTTCACACCCTGGCATTATTCAGTCTTGGAACCAAATAACTTACAGATTTCTAAGTTGACTGTTCATGTATCTGGAATGGATATTGAAACATATATTCAACCCCGATTTCATGAAATACTTCTTAGAAATCATCAGCTTTTTGAGGAGGTTACCAATATTTGAAGACTGAGCCAAAGTAGTGTTTATGAGGATGTTGGTTTGGACAAATTGTTCAACGTCTGTTGATGCTTATTTGGAAAATAAGCTTAAATTCATATTAAATTGCACACTGGTTTAGTTGCAGGAGGTGAAAACTTCAGGACATTTTCATGTATGTCTTCCTAAACTTTTGTTATGACTTTTACCAAATTTTTAAGCAACTTTAATATAATTTTGATGACACTAGTAAGTATCTCAGAAAAGGAAATGGATCAGAATTAGTGTTATGTCCCTAGGGGATATGGTCTCAGATCTAATAAAACAAAGATTATCATTGTAACGTCTAAGAAGCAATAATGTCAATTCTTTGCCTCTTATTTACATCAGTAGTTAGCAGTTAAATATATCTGAAGAAAAAGCAGTATATTTGTATGTTGTGTAACATTCTATTTCAATGCTAGTTAATTGTTCGGATAACTGTGGATCCTCTGTTCAAAGATTTTGCACCACACGTTTCCTATTTATGGAAGATGTGTCAGGGTACAGGTGCAGACTGTATCTTGGATTGTTTGTGTTTATGGTGGTGTGACATACCTGTAGATAAATGCTGGCAGTTCATGAAGTCCATTATAGTGGAGGTTTGTAGATTAGGATTCCACAACAAAGTACACATAGAAAAAAATGTGGAAAGGGTTATTAAAAAATTGGATTTCCTTATATTCAGTGTCATTTTAAGATGGTGTACAGATTTTGAAGAGAGAAATTTTACTGAGAATAGCTGCAGATTAGCTGCTGAATATTTGCTTCTGGGTATGTCCAGATACATCCATGGAAACATACTGTGTTAACAGGTCCAGTAACGTTTTCCAGATAATATATACAGACAAACAAGGTGGACGAAGTAGTAGACGGGGATACTGTTTTCCTCGTTGTTCCTTGAAAGGTAGAAACCCATGTTTTCACAAACTTCTAATTTAACTAAATTTGAACAACGGATAAATAAATAAAGGTGGCACGCGCGGTTGTGACAATCTTTTATAGATACCAAACGATCTGCAACTTGAACATGTGGTTGTGTTCACGGTTTTATAATATTACGATGGGAATTTTTTAGAAAAGCAACAAACAACATAATTCAGTTACCTTTCCCCTGCTAATATCTTAGGCGAACGTGAATTGCGGATAGATTATTTGGTAGAAAATATGCTTCCCAATCTCAGCAGCTGGCTGAGACGATTTTTCATCGGGCATGTAGATCTAACTACATTTTCACTCGCCAATTATACAACCTGTCAACTAAAATATATTGAAAATAAAATACGTATAACTTTCCTTTTTAAATATCATTCACAAACGGCGGATACCAAAGTACAACAAACAGAATTCATCAACAACATTCGCAATCACGTACGTTTCGCCGGCGGTGACGCCATTGTGATTTGTCAGTAGTTGTCCCCCCTAACGTCAAAAACGAAGTGGGCGGGGCTTATCGGCCGGGACTGGATCGGTCTATTGACAGTTATTCAAAGAGAACACAGACATGTGATATATTAGTGCTGTGATAGTCACTGACAGTTATTCAAAAGAGAACACAGACATGTGATATATTAGTTCTGTGATAGTAATTGACAGTTATTCAATAGAAGACAGTGTCAGACATGTGTTGTATTAGTGCTGTGGTTACATTAATGTACAGTTATTCAACAGAGGACACAGGCGTGTGTTGTGTTAGTGCTGTGGTTATATTAATGTACAGTTATTCAACAGAGGACACAGGCGTGTGTTGTATTAGTGCTGTGGTTACATTAATGTACAGTTATTCAACAGAGGACACAGGCGTGTGTTGTGTTAGTGCTGTGGTTATATTAATGTACAGTTATTCAATAGAGGACACAGGCGTGTGTTGTATTAGTGCTGTGGTTATATTAATGTACAGTTATTCAACAGAGGACACAGACGTGTGTTGTGTTAGTGCTGTGGTTACATTAATGTACAGTTATTCAACAGAGGACACAGGCATGTGTTGTGTTAGTGCTGTGGTTACATCAATGTACAGTTATTCAACAGAGGACACAGGCGTGTGTTGTGTTAGTGCTGTGGTTATATTAATGTACAGTTATTCAACAGAGGACACAGGCATGTGTTATATTAATGCTGTGATAATGATGTACAGGTATTTAACAGAGGATACGTATTCAGTATTCTTTCAAAGTACATTATGCTCATCTGAACCAAGGTAGTTGCTGTTTGTTGGTCTGTCTTTACTTGTCACAAACTTGACACTTTCTACATAGGTCCATGACGCTGAAACCTTGCAAGGATAACCTCAGCTATGGTAATATATGAAAGTGCTCTCAGAATTGTGATAATTTATGCACTATACTCAAATATTTCTCTGTTATGGGCACTAAATAGTGTTTGAAATGAAATGCAAAATGATTAATGTTAGTGTTAGTGTGTGTTAGTGTGTGTGTAATATAGCATTATGTACAGGGTGCCTTATGTGTATGTTGAAAATCTGTTCATGACTGTTACCCATTTCTGTTCAAAATGTAAGAAAACTTTGTATGTTCAGGTAGTAGTGGTCATCTAAACAGTTTGGACCCTGTACTTATGTAACTGTTGTCAGAACTGATCATTTTAGATCATTTTGAAAAGGATGTTGAGGTATCATGTTTTATAGCCTCCTGTTGTGACAGTATGTTACACATTGGTTTTATAACAAAGAGAAATGACGGACAGGGGAAATGTGTGAGGAGTTTGAGATAAATCCAACATTACATAGAGGACTGGTCCAAAGGGGAGAGGGAGTCTGACATGGGCGGCCCACTTCACACATTTCTTTTCTGTTTGCTTTTAGGCTCACCCTCTCCTGCAGTTCACACTTCTGTATGGGAATGGCAATTATGCAGCAATATTTGTAAATGAATTTTTCTGTAGATATGTTTACTGTTGGCAGTTTCTGTTGTCCATCAGGTTGGATGTCCTCATCAGATATTCTCTAATGGGGGCGTTTTAGTATGTATTGATCTTGTAAAGTCTGTTGAATGTGTTTCTTTTACCCTACAGAGGCCAGGGACATTCCTGCACAAAGCACTTTGTTTCGTGTATAAACTGCAGTAAAGATTTATCATCCCAAACTTGCAGTTTTCTGTTGTTTGTGTTACACACAAGTTCCATGTTCATTGGAACACCGCCACATCCATCATCAGACACAGGCATATTGCCTGTTCAAAGCTGCATCTGGGCGAAATCACTACAATATGGACATCAACAACTAGCTGTTGCCTTGACTACCCAACAGCATCCTTTTACCAGACTTCTATACTTTTATCTCCCATTACCCATTCACCCTAAAAGAACCACAGGCCTTCTTTTGTCTCTTTTAAAATACTTAAACCTTTAATTCATCTCAAACATCTTCATCAATCCAAACCAGCAGACTCCTGATACCCAGGTTTCAACAGACAGATGTATGCACATGCAAAAACACAGTTGAAGGACAATAGTCTTCCAAAGCTGAATTTTAATTACATACCAAAAACAGACAATATTTTCAAATTACACATCGTAAAAACATTTTCCAGAAGACCACTTGAAAGTTTATTCTGAACATCTATTCATAAGCAGGTGTTGTGGTCCAGTCCACCTAACCCCACCCACACTGTTGTGATCCAGTCCACCTAACCCCACCCACACTGTTGTGGTACAGTCCACCTAACCCCACCCACCCACACTGTTGTGGTCCAGTCCACCTAACCCCACCCACACTGTAGTGGTCCAGTCCACCTAACCCCACCCACACTGTTGTGATCCAGTCCACCTAACCCCACCCACACTGTTGTGATCCAGTCCACCTAACCCCACCCACACTGTTGTGATCCTGTCCACCTAACCCCACCCACACTGTTGTGATCCAGTCCACCTAACCCAACCCACACTGTTGTGGTCCAGTCCACCTAACCCCACCCACACTGTTGTGATCCTGTCCACCTAACCCCACCCACACTGTTGTGATCCAGTCCACCTAACCCAACCCACACTGTTGTGATCCTGTCCACCTAACCCCACCCACACTGTTGTGATCCAGTCCACCTAACCCCACCCACACTGTTGTGATCCAGTCCACCTAACCCAACCCACACTGTTGTGGTCCAGTCCACCTAACCCCACCCACACTGTTGTGGTTCCAGTCCACCTAACCCCACCCACACTGTTGTGGTTCAGTCCACCTAACCCCACCCACACTGTTGTGGTCAGTCAGTCCACCCACACTGTTGTGGTACACCACTTCTACCCACACTGTTGTGGTACAGTCCACCTAACCCCACCCACACTGTTGTGGTACAGTCCACCTAACCCCACCCACACTGTTGTGGTACAGTCCACCTAACCCCACCCACACTGTTGTGGTCCAGTCCACCTAACCCCACCCACACTGTTGTGTGGTCCACCTAGTTGTGGTCCAGTCCACCTAACCCCACCCACACTGTTGTGGTCCAGTCCACCCCAACCCCACCCACACTGTTGTGGTCCAACCCCCACCCACACTGTTGTGGTCCAGTCCACCTAACCCCACCCACACTGTTGTGGTCAGTCCACCTAACCCCACCCACACTGTTGTGGTCCAGTCCACCTAACCCCACCCACACTGTTGTGGTCCAGTCCACCTAACCCCACCCACACTGTTGTGGTCCAGTCCACCTAACCCCACCCACACTGTTGTGGTCCAGTCCACCTAACCCCACCCACACTGTTGTGGTCCAGTCCACCTAACCTGTTGTGGTCCAGTCCCCTAACCCCACCCACACTGTTGTGGTCCAGTCCACCTAACCCCACCCACACTGTTGTGGTCCAGTCCACCTAACCCAACCCACACTGTTGTGGTCCAGTCCACCTAACCCCACCCACACTGTTGTGGTTCAGTCCACCTAACCCCACTATTGTGGTCCAGTCCACCTACTTGTTGTGGTTCAGTCCACCCACACTGTTGTGGTTCCCACCCCCACCCACAGTGTTGTGGTCCAGTCCACCTAACCCCACCCACACTGTTGTGGTTCAGTCCACCTAACCCCACCCACAGTGTTGTGATCCTGTCCACCTAACCCCACCCACACTGTTGTGATCCAGTCCACCTAACCCAACCCACACTGTTGTGGTCCAGTCTTCTCTGCCCACAATAGTAACACATTTCATTTCTTCTTGCTCCTAATGTTCTGTGGCTTGGGGAACAAGGAGGTGTCAATCTGGTCGGGTGTCAGACCCTTCACTGAGAACAACCTCTCAGCCCGCTGCTGTACCGTGCCTCCACACTTAAGCCCTCGCTGGGTCAGGGCAAACTTGAGGCGATCCATCCCCATTCCTTCCAGCTCCGAAGCCGACAAGAACTCAGAAAGGTCAATCTGAGGAAGAAATACAGAATACTTGTCTCGATCTTTCCAATATAATCAACCACTAAGAAACAGAGTATGTAGGGTAAAATAATGATTCTCTCCCAAAACCAAAGTAGAACCATGTTGAAGTAAAAATATGTACTTTAACATCATGTTTTCATGGAGACAGTGATTTCAAAATGGAAGCTTTGATGTTTCCATTCGTATATGAGAATCAAAGACACTTCTAATAAATGAGCTTCAACTAATCCTTTACTTACATCTTCAAGTTTGTTCATGCTGACAGGAGGAGGCAGAGAAGACAAGAGGGTACTACTTTCAGCAGTTACCTCCCCTTCATCCCTAACCTGGCCTTCCTTCTTGGAGGCAGAGGAGGTCTCACATGTGACATTAATCGATTCAGTGCTGTCCTTGCTGCCTGCAACTGATCCACTGTGGCTGGAGGTACTGGGTGAAGATTCATCTGTTGCCGGATTGTTGCTGCCAGGTGTGTCATCTTTAGGTGTAAGGCCACTGGATGACTCTTCTGCCGGAGCAACATCCTCACTAGAAGATTGGTTGTCATCATCTGAACTCTCACTGGACAGGACATCTGGGTCAATACCAAGCCTAAAGGAAACATTTGTGAACATATGCAATCAGACTGACTTCTACATTCACCACATAACATACAGATAAATATCTGCTGGTTTTAGTAACCCTGTCAAATTTATACTTTGGTTATTTCAGATCTGACTTCAATATGCTTTGTGTTTACGGACATAAATGTGACATACTGTTAGCACTCTGTTTAATCAGTATTGCAGGTTCCCAGCAAAGTGTGGATTTCACATTTATAGCTTATTGATAAATATGTCGACAATGATAGGGGATTAATCTAATCTATACACTTATCCTGACACAACAGTAGGCAATATTCTTGTTGCTTTGATCTTAAAACAGTGAAGAAGAATGGAGAAAATATCACCCAAACACACCCTCCTATAACCTCACTGTCAACATGCTCCTGTATTTCTATAAAGATATATTTAAGAAATACAGTTCCCTCTGCCTCTATGTATACTGTAATAAAGCACACTTTCGCCCAGAACTGCTTTAACTATAATAGTTCTGGGCAAATGTGTGCTTTATTACACTGTACATGGTGGTACAGCGAACTGTATTTCTTTTCTATTATGCCAAATTTAATACCTCCTAAGAATAATTATGATTAATCTAAGGCAGACAACAAACGACAGTGACAGTGACCTAAATTAAGACTCCTCGCACAGGTCTAGTTACGCTGTTCTATTGATGTGTCTGCCCCTCCTACATTAAGACTAACGTTAACAGGAAAAACAAATGATAACAGTTTGATGACGGTTTACGTTCGGATTAAATGTTTTCTCTAAATTATCTTAATTACATCTGTGATTAACATAAACCACATGGGGCAATATGAACGTCACATTTCTACTACCAATGTAAATTTAGATCAGTACATCCAGATGAAGCTGAGTAGTCAAGCGACATTCCACGATGGCATTGTGGGAATGCAAACATTGCGAACGTTACCATGTCACTGAAAACTTGTGAGCGGAATTGAGACATTTAACTGTCGGAAAACATAAACGTAATGTTTCCACCAGTGATGTTAGCTGCATGAAGCAACCGCAAACCAAGAAACAGGATGCAATGGAGTAGTTTACTGTAGGAGGCTGTACAAGGCGATGACAACTGACATGCATCGTGACATCGTCACTTACATTGTGATATAATGCAAAATTGTTCGATTACGAGGGGGCAGACTAGAATGATGCAGTGATGCCAATAAATTGTGACGTAATGCAAAAAGTGCATATTATCGTCTGATAAAGTACTCTCGGCACCTTTGATCTTTCACTGAAGCATCTTAGAAAGATTCCCAAGACGGTTTGGGACAGTTAGGAGGAAGAGAAGACTTGTCTCAGAATAAGTAAGTGAGGTCATTGTGAAGGTGCAGCCAGACAGTCCAGGTTGTTGTTTCTTGGTGATGAAATCCTGCATCGAGCCAAGGTATACAAGGTCTCCACGTTATCTGAGGGATGTTGGCACCAAGGAGCTCAGTGATGTGTGCAGCAGAAACCCAGTCTCTAAACTCTGTTCTTTAGTTAAATCAAAATCTCATCCACAACATACAGACCAAATCAAATTAATTGTATGTTCCAGAGTACCTACCCATAATATTCTCCCCTTGGTAAGACTGCTAAATCCAGTGTTCTGTCAAAAGATCCAGAGCACAAATGAACACTGACCAGATCAACAAATATGATGTTGTTGATCTCCTCATTAACATCGCTACTAAAGAAGCCCCTTGAATTCTGACTCTGCTTATCTCAGACTGGTTCAGTCACTTGACACCAACCTCTCCACAGACTCCATCATCCTCTACAAATCATGCGTTACCTTTTCATTTGAGCAGATTCCTGTATCTTCTCGACATGGACCAAGCAAGCAAGAAACATGCTCGGCAAACATGACCTTGAACATGAACTAAATCATCTGTAGCTTGTCTTCATCAACCTCGACCAGTATCCCACCAGTTTGTCAAGAGGACCACCACACTCCAGCCCAAACCCCAACAGACCAAGCCTGAAACTGACCCCATCAGAATTACCCTAACCTACATTGGCAAGACTTCTCATCAAATCAGCAGACTACTTAAGCACGAAGCAGGTATCGACCAATCATCACAAAAAACTACAACTTGGAAGCCAGAGAAATCCACCATCACGAACCATTGACCAACAGAGATCAAAATACACACTATTATCCTTTGAACGGTTAATCAATCGACAGACTCTATCAATTAAATGATTTAATTAGTAGCCTATCAGCTTATTTAACATTTTAATCCTTGCTGTATATTAGCTTCATTACTGAAGCTGTTTGTTGTGTTTACTCTCCATCTCGCCCCATACAGTTATGTGCTATTTGGTATTAACTACCTGTTGTTAATCTGATACCTGTCACAACATATCATACATATATATTCCTCTCCTCACTTGATTATAGTCACCTTAGCTTGATAAATATGTAAGAATCTCCATCGAAAATTGCTCTACACAAAAATACAAGTTGTTATCCATTCAGTTGTATGCTTCAATAAAAACAATGAAAACACTCGGGGGAACACAGGAAAAGATGAGTAGTTCTGGAGCAGTCTGTGAGCGAGGTAGTCAGCGGATGTGTTTATGTGAATGTTCTATATTGTTCTTCACTGTTTAACAATTGAACCAAGAAGGAATATTGCATCCTGTTGTGGAGGGATAACTTTAAAAAAGTCTACTTCACAGACTGCTTATTTCATCATTAGCACACAAACTGTAGGCAGCAGTAAAAAAATCAGTGCCAGCATTCAGCACCATTATGTAACACAAGCTCCACGTGTCAGGCAAACAGGAAACACTATTCTGTTAGTTGGGGAGACCAGTGTCAGGTTTCATGTCATCAATATTGACTTGTCATGTCATCAATATTGACTTGTCATATCACCAATATTGACTTTGTCTGCTAGAAAGTGACTTCATGTCTGCCTGTGTCAATATACAGTTTGCCAATAGTTTGTTTTAAAAAGAAGTTAAGGAATTCATTAATGAATTTTGGCATAATAATCCAATTACTCTTAGTGAATTAACGTTCATGTGTTTCTGCATAAAGACCATACCAAGTCAGCAGATGAGTTATTGTGCGAATCTGAAAATATTTACCATCCTCGTTGTCTCTTTGCCTTCATTAGTGGGTCACTTGCTGCTCTCCGCTTCCTTGTAATGTCTGCGCTGGTTACTGTAGCAGCCGGGCTGTCTTGTCCCGAACCAGAGCTGGAGAGTGGGAGGAGGTTATAGTGAACAACAAATACACAGGACACACACCTGGGAAGGGAGGAATATCAAGAGTGGTGCAGGGATCTGGTGAACTTCGTTGAAATCTACAAGCACTGTCAGGACAAACCTACAAACTGAAGTGAAGCAGGATTCAAAACCAGCATCACTCCTATGGGACATCTCACCTATAACAGATCTCACACATCACGCGTCTCACATCTCAACTATAACAGATCTCACGCGTCTCACGTCACACATCTCATGTCTCATGTCACACATCACACATCTCACGTCACACATCACATCTCACGTCACATTTCACGCCTCACATCGCTCATCTCACGTCTCACGTCACACATCTCACGTCTCACATCTCCCATCTCCCGTCACACGTCTCACCTGTCTGTAGAGCATCATCCAGGTCATCAGCCACCTTGCTGCGCTGTGCTACATACTTGGGATCATCAAAGTTGTGTTGTGGACATGCTCTTCTCCGTGCCAGTCTCTCCTGGCGCTTCTCTTCTTTCTCTCTCTCTCGATCTGCCTGTTTGCTGAGCCAGTCTTTCAATCTGAAGACAAACACCTTGTAATAAGTGTAACGCATGACTGGGGGTAAATATTCATAAGGAGTATTCACCTCTCTATAAGTACATACTTATCCTGCAACAACAGTATACAATATTCCTTCTTGCTTTAATTGTAAAAATGTAGAACAATGTAAAACTCTGCTGCAAGAATGATCTTCAGATCATCAAAGTTAGACTATATAACGCCATTACTGAAAGACCTCCATTGGCTCCCTGTAGCTCCTTGCATAGACTTCAAAATTCGAACAAACCTGTAGAGGTTGCTGATTCTTTGATGCGAGTCCTCCTTGGGGTACATACAGGCATTAAAATGTCCATTTTAAACCCTACGACAGTTGTAACTATTTTTGAATAAAATATTTACAACCAAAAACAACGTTTTTGTCTTTTTCGACCACCCCTACGGAGACCAGAATGGACCTGTCCGCCGAGAGCAGGTAATTCTAAGCGCTAACCTCTGACCTCACTTTCCATGCTGAAGAAATACAGACAGAATGTGGGGAGGTGGGTGGCCGTACCCCAAGGAGAACTCTCATCAAAGAATAAGCAACCTCTACAGGTTTGTTGGATTCTTTTTCATGAGAGATCCTCCTTGGGGTACATATAAGCATAAGACAGACTCCTAAGGACAAGAGCCCCAGGTATCGCATTCTGTCCGTAAACCAAAACCCAGACAAGTGGAATTTCCCAACTATAAATAGAGAAAGGAACAGCTCACTTAGTGACTTACCTGGCCACGTGACCTCTTCAGCCAATCAGGCAAGGGCGTGGTCCAGGGTCGGGGACACCTAGTTCACTCATATGCAAATATGGCAGTGTACTACACACGTAGTACCCATCCCGAGTTATGTAAACTACCTAGGGAGGAGTAACCATACATTCCCATGAAACCACAGCAGTGGCAGTGTACTACACACGTAGTACCCATCCCAAGTTATGTAAACTACCTAGGGAGGAGTAACCATACATTCCCATGAAACCACAGCAGTGGCAGTGTACTACACACGTAGTACCCATCCCAAGTTATGTAAACTACCTAGGGAGGAGTAACCATACATTCCCATGAAACCACAGCAGTGGCGGTGTACTACTACGTGTAGTACCCATCCCGAAGTTATGTAAACTACCTAGGAAGGAGTAACCATACATTCCCATGAAACCACAGCAGTGGCAGTGTACTACACATGTAGTACCCATCCCAAGTTATGTAAACTACCTAGGGAGGAGTAACCATACATTCCCATGAAACCACAGCAGTGGCAGTGTACTACACATGTAGTACCCATCCCAAGTTATGTAAACTACCTAGGGAGGAGTAACCATACATTCCCATGAAACCACAGCAAACCACAGCAGTGGCAGTGTACTACACATGTAGTACCCATCCCGAGTTATGTAAACTACCTAGGGAGGAGCAACCATACATTCCCATGAAACCACAGCAAACCACAGCAGTGGCAGTGTACTACACATGTAGTACCCATCCCGAGTTATGTAAACTACCTAGGGAGGAGTAACCATACATTCCCATGAAACCACAGCAGTGGCAGTGTACTACACATGTAGTACCCATCCCGAGTTATGTAAACTACCTAGGGAGGAGTAACCAACCATACATTCCCATGAAACCACAGCAAACCACAGCAGTGGCAGTGTACTACACATGTAGTACCCATCCCGAGTTATGTAAACTACCTAAGGAGGAGTAACCATACATTCCCATGAAACCACAGCAGTGGCAGTGTACTACACATGTAGTACCCATCCCGAGTTATGTAAACTACCTAGGGAGGAGCAACCATACATTCCCATGAAACCACAGCAGTGGCAGTGTACTACACATGTAGTACCCATCCCGAGTTATGTAAACTACCTAGGGAGGAGTAACCATACATTCCCATGAAACCACAGCAGTGGCAGTGTACTACACACGTAGTACCCATCCCGAGTTATGTAAACTACCTAGGGAGGAGTAACCATACATTCCCATGAAACCACAGCAGTGGCAGTGTACTACACATGTAGTACCCATCCCGAGTTATGTAAACTACCTAGGGAGGAGTAACCATACATTCCCATGAAACCACAGCAGTGGCAGTGTACTACACATGTAGTACCCATCCCGAGTTATGTAAACTACCTAGGGAGGAGCAACCATACATTCCCATGAAACCACAGCAGTGGCAGTGTACTACACATGTAGTACCCATCCCGAGTTATGTAAACTACCTAGGGAGGAGTAACCATACATTCCCATGAAACCACAGCAGTGGCAGTGTACTACACATGTAGTACCCATCCCGAGTTATGTAAACTACCTAGGGAGGAGTAACCATACATTCCCATGAAACCACAGCAAACCACAGCGGTGGCAGTGTACTACACACCCGAGTTAGTGTAAACTACCCATCCCGGAGTAGTTATGTAAACTACCTAGGGAGGAGTACTACACCATACATTCCCATGAAACCAGGGAGGAGCAACCATACATTCAACCACAGCAAACCACAGCAGTGGCAGTGTACTACACATGTAGTACCCATCCCGAGTTATGTAAACTACCTAGGGAGGAGTAACCATACATTCCCATGAAACCACAGCAGTGGCAGTGTACTACACACGTAGTACCCATCCCGAGTTATGTAAACTACCTAGGGAGGAGTAACCATACATTCCCATGAAACCACAGCAATGGCAGTGTACTACACACGTTGAGAGGACCGGACAGCCAATCGAGAACGATTGACCAGACCACGTGGGACTGATCCGCTGGACGGATTCTGTCCACACCTGCTAGAAAACGCTGTACAAGAGGGTGCTGCCCCAAGAGTGCACCATCGACAGGTATATGAAACGCTGTACAAGAGGGTGCTGCCCCAAGAGTGCACCATCGACAGGTATATGAAATGCTGTACAAGAGGGTGCAGGCCCAAGAGTGCACCATCGACAGGTATATGAAAACGCTGTACAAGAGGGTGCTGCCCCAAGAGTGCACCATCGACAGGTATATAAAAATGCTGTACAAGAGGGTGCTGCCCCAAGAGTGCACAATCAACAGGTATATGAAACCCTGATATGTTAGGTAACCTTGAACAGTGGAAGCGGCTAGCCCTATCTTCCAACCGAGACTGGAGGAACTCAAGCACTGTGACTAGATCTGCAGAAAAGGGATCAAGAATGCCCCTGTCGACACACCAGCGTGCATAGCAGGCCCATCTATGCTCATATTGAACGTTTGTCGACTACCTCCGGGAAGCCAGAATTGTGTCTGCAACTGATGCAGGAATTACGCTTGCTCGGAGGCGATTCCGTACAGTGGCCATGCCACCACTGAATCCTGGGATTCGGGTGCGGCGCTCCATTCTGGGATAGAAGGTCTGGTCGAAAGGGTAATAGTAAGGGAAGGTATTGCAGAGAATATTTATATTGCGATATATTGCGATGCGAAAGCATGTATTGCGATATGCATTGCAATATATTGCATGAAGTATTTTTATACAAAAAACTACTTATAATCGAGTTACTGCTTGATTTATAGAGCAAAACACAACAAAATCACTATGCTTGATTAAGCTTTAATAACAAATTTTAATCATGATAAAATATAAATGTGAATAATATTTGGCTCAAATGAAACAAGGAAATATCCGAAAATTTCCGAGTGTTACAACGTTTTCCGAATGCATGTCAAAATACCGGTTTTCGATCAGCGTATCGCAATACGTATCTTTTTCATGTCTGAACCGGTAAATACCGGTAAACCGGTTATATTGCGCAGCCCAAGGTAATAGTATAGGAGGCTGAGCCAGAAACCTGAGAATTACCGGAAACCAGCTTTGAGCCGACCAAAGAGGTGCCAGGAGCATAAGTAGCTGAGCTGGTTGGGTGGCCAACTGCGACAGGACTTTGGAGATCAGTGGGAACGCCCACAGTACCTTGTCTGTCCTGTCGAGCTGGAAGGCGTCGTTGGTTATCGCTCTTGCATCTGGTATCTGAGAGCAAAACACTGGTATCTGGTTCGTCATCCCAGAGGAAAAAAGATCCACCTGGAACGACCTGTACAACTGGGAGATAATCCTGAATATCACCCGGTCGAGCATCCCCTCGTGTGAAGTAGTGGTGTAATGATTCATCGATAGTATCGATGTTTACATCATTAACTACGCGATACGAGTGTATCGATACAACATTTAGGCAATATATCAGGATATTTATATCACGAGGGTCCATGATACATCGATGTATCATCACAAGAGACGATATATCCCGATACAACTTAAATACTACTTAAAGTTGTAAGGAGTATTGCATTAGGAATAGGAAAGGAGTCTCTTTGAAATTCTTCTGAATTTTAAAAACAAATTGAACTTTAAAGGAATTTGGTTTGCGTCTTTATCTCTGTTACATGAACAAAGGAGTTGGTGTATAAGTCACAGAGTGTGAACATTTTACAAACTCTGTGAACTGAGAATAATTGTCTTCAAGTAATTGAAATATGCAGATATGGTTTAGTTGTTTGACACATAACACCATTTATTTACAACTATGAACGATGTCTTAGCGTTGTTCAGAAAAAGAACAAAGAGAAGATAAAATTTAGAAAGCAGACTTTCAGTGATTCTGAATGCTGATATAAATTACATTGAGTTGTTTGTGAAAGCAATTCCCAAGGGAAACTTCACTTTCAGATTAATATTAGATCATGGTATACTGAATATGTTTGACTTTCTTAAGCATTAAATGCTGAAACTTTATTAGATAAACAGCCTTTTAAGTGTGTGTGAATGGAACACAAGTTCTGCTGTATAACAAATAAAGTTTCAGTCATTTTATCTATCATATCTGTTCTGTTATTAGAAATTGTAAAGTATCGGGATACGTATCGTATCGCCACCATTGTATCGTGATGATAATCGTCTCGCAGGTTCCTTGCCAATACTTTCATGATATATCGTCTCACCTCATTAAACTGGTATCGGGAT